GTCCAGAGGACCTATACAATTTTTTTCTTTTTGATTTTTTACCTGGATTACTGAGATGCATCAGGACGACATGTCACTTAGTGCACTTAGTATGTGTATGATTTTCAGCTACCCACATCATGCTTTTTTTACCGCTATTTATTGTTCATTTATTATGTTAGCTCAATCTATCTGTAAAAAGACCGAGTTAAAACCATGATTGTGTTTGTTAAGGTTGATTAGCTGTGGCAGTCATTTTGAATCAAGCTGAGCCCTAATGTTAATCAGCTGTAGTTGTAACCACCAAAAGAGAAACGCTAGAAAGTTTTTGTCCATGTGTAAGTGCATTTGTTTGTCCACAGGTTAACAGCACTGGGTAAACTTTTAATAAAACTCTCAGAAAGAAATCACTGAATGCACATGTGTGAAATGATAAACCTAATGAGTCAACTGACTTTAAGACGGTCACCACACTCAGCTGACCTTAGCAAATACAAAAGTAGATATAACTCAGGCAATTTTATATTTATTGGGCTAAAATATGGTGTGGTGGTAACTAGGAGCAATTTACAACACGTGCTCTGAGAGCTAACACATTTAACAAGATCGCAAAATATTGCACGAGATTATGAANTAAAATTTGGTTTGTTTAATTCAAACCATCTCTGAGGAACAGAGTCAAATGTAAAAAGTGTTGCAACTGTCCCCGGTCTATTCATGTGATGTATAATAATGTACATATACCTAGTACAGTAAATAAATATATATAATAATAATAAATAGATATACATTTCTTTAAGAAATGCCAGGTTGGAAACTTTAGATAAATTCTGTTCACATAAAAGAAAAAGCCGAACTTTGCAACAAATCTGGAAAATAAAAAAAATCATGAAGCACTTTGTAAACCCAGAGCAAATATAACCTTTATAAGACATTTAGTCAGAATACTGCTGGTTAAACTGGGACCTGTGGGGGTCCCTGAGAGTCTGGGCCCAGATCCAACAGGGGGGCTTGTAAAAACCCTGTCCCTGAAGGCAGCAGCTRTTAGACGCTGTGAAGAAAGAAAGATGGTGATGAAGAGGAGGAACTCATCACTTAAATCAGTCTTGTGTTTCTCTGGATGCCATGGCAACTTTCCCCGCCCCCTCCTGCTCACTGTGCACCAGTCTGACCATTAAACACCAGCAGGCTCTGACACCTCCACACATTACAGCTTTACGATGCGCGACTGTTAAAAAATCTGACGGACTTTACGGAACGTGAACGCAACACTGCTTTGAAACGACTAAACACCATTATTATAGTTTTACAGCAGGTTAAAGCCTGAACGGTCCAATCAGCAGCGAGTCGGACCAGAAATAAAACCATGAAGCATCAGTTTAAAGTCTGAACACACCGAGGATCTGCTCACATGTCGGTTCTCTGTTTTAAAAATAAAGTAAAAAGTTCCTGTCGCTCCTGCTGGACTAACGTCCTGCTGCCTGTGGAGATAAAAGCGTGTCTGCCAGGAACCATTAGAAAGGACAGCAGGGCGGGAACCTACCTGGCACAGCACCAGTCTCGTGTCGTCCCATGAGGGAACAAAGAAGCAGATAACACTGGTTCCCGTCGAGCTCTCCCCGGTTCTGGAGCTGCTGACCGTGTGTGAGCGGATCAAGCTGCCGAGCTCCGGCTGATGTCAGCGGGCAGGGGGGCGGGGCCTCACCGGGACGCATCTCCACGAAGCCATGACGTCACGCTGCCTCCTTCTGATCGTTCCATGRGCAAATAAAATAAAGTCCCGCAAACAGAGCTGTGAATCAAATGARCACTTTTATTCTCATAAACTAAAACAGACTTTATTGATTTGTTTGAAGTGAGTCTTTTGACATTATGGTTTTGACTTTACATCTAACAGTGGTGGGCAGCACTGACCCTAAAGCACTAATATTTAGGTCCCCTAATTCTAAAGCACTAACACACTCAAAAATTTAGCAAAAAGCTAATTCTAAAGCACTAAAACCCAGGTGGCCCACAGAACTTTCCTCACAGTCAATAAGTAGGGGAGAGCGGGGACAGTTGCAACATTTTTACATTTGACTCTGTTCCTCAGAGATGGTTTGAATTAGACAAACCAAATTTTAATACAATAAACTTACAAATAAATAAATAAAATAAACTTACAATACAAAAAACCATTTATAGATGATTAAAGCATGTACATTCTTCACTATTTCCATTTGAAAATGAAAAGTCAGATGTTACAACTGTCC